GGCAGATGATCTCAACTAGTGGCTTAATATAGATATTAAAAAGGTTTGAAAAGGGGAGATCTGCCTCCATAGAGTTGGGTTATCAAATTGGATTTCTCTTCTCTAACCACCACTGATTGCAGTTGAACTATCAGGAAGAAGAACCATTGCAAAATGGTGTGGTCTCGGTCCCCCCCCCCCCCCCCCAAAATGGTCAAGAAGGATAGCATGGTTGATGATACTCAAAAGCTGCCAAGAGATCAAGGATCCAAATAATCTGCTTCTTCTAGCATCCTTTGCAGTTGTACAACCACTACGTTCTCCACAACCTTCGCCCTTGCAAAAAAGGAAGTTAGTTGCATCAAGTTAAGGTTTCTTGAGCAGGGGGTGTCCCACTGTCAGCATAAATCAGTTTCATCAAATAAATTGGCATCATGCCAATTTAGTATTCATTTTACTGCAGTAGTATATAAGTGAAACCTGTTCTGAATTTTTGATAGTTTCTATGGGCATCTATAATGGGATCCATTTCAAGCAACTGCAGAAGAAACAAAAACAATAAACGTACTTGGTCCCCTGATAAATATATTTAGAAACATTTGTTGCTGTATGATTTTTTGAATCACCAGATTGGAATCCAAATAAAATCTAACAGTTGGTTCATAGACATGCCTGTAAACAGATAAGTGATGCTGTTTCAAAAAGCAGTATTTTCAGATTGAGTTCATTTTTTATTCTTTGTTTCATACAAGTTTTACTCCTGCTCCATAGAATGGGGTACTGCTACAAGTGATAGTGATATAGTGCATGATGACATAATATAATGGATTGATTATATATATTTAATATCTGTATGGAACTTGATGGAAGGGTGCCATTTATTTTTTCAGCATTACCCTCCTGAAATGACTCTGGGAACTGCCATTTACAGTCGTCATCATGCAGTCTTGCTTATTCAAGCCGCTGTTTCAGTTGTTTCCTTTAAAATTAAAATTAAAATAACAGAGAAATACAACTTTTAAAAAAGAAACAGTATGCGCCTAAACATGATTCACGTATAAGTCAGTGTATAATAAATTCTTCACAAATATTGCTATACTAACAACTTGGTTAATATTAATATTATGGGAGATATAATCTATCCTTACATAAACTCTTTGAGGTGATCTTCTTAGGTTTACTTATATGGACTTTCTCAGTGTAACATTTGCTCTTCATTGTTCAAAACTAAATTTCTTTCTTCTAAATTTCTAGGTAATTCCTCCTAAGGAATGGAAGCCAAGGAAAAGTTATGATGATATTGATGATCTAATGATTCCAGCTCCCATTCAGCAGATGGTTACTGGTCAATCAGGTCTCTTCACTCAATACAACATTCAAAAAAAGCCAATGACTGTGAAAGAATTTAGGCTACTTGCTAATAGTGACAAGTAGGTATATTCATCCCATACTTTGTTATATACAGGTGTACAATCTGCAGTATTAAAATTATATTTAATTAACTCTATTTGTTGTTAATTATATTTAGATTCAGTCAGATTTATTTTTTCTCCTATCCTGGCCTCATCTATTTTATAGAGCCCCTCCATAAAGGCAAAATAGGGCGCTTGGTTGAAAAAAGATGTTCTGTTTGTGACCTGTATATCTGTCCTTTGGTGCATTCAGACCCTTTACCCTTTAAATTCAGAATAAATGACTTATTTATTGTTCTTTATGATATTTAGTAAGTTTCTTGATTAGGAAGAATAAATTAATAGAGGCTTACTGCTTAGTTATCTAAGCAGTTTATTCACAGTAAGAGACAGTTTAGGAATGACACTTCGTGATAAGAAAGGATGTGAGATGGAACATTCATTTATCTTTCTACTCAGTATATGATTGTTAACAAATAGTTTTCTTGCATTATTTCAATATTTTTTCTTCTTTCTTTTTGCATTTTATCCCAGTAGCATAAAGCTATTTTCTCAAGGTAGTACTGTTTGTTTTCAGAATGTTAATTTTAGAAGATATTTTGGTTTATATACTATTTTTTAAAAATCAAAATATTTTACAACAGGGGTTCTCAAATGTTGTGGTGCCATGACTCCCTAAAATAATAAGTAAATTTATGTGGCCTTCTTCTATGGATAACACTGTTGGATTGTCCAAGCAGAGTGGAAATGAGGTCTGTCAGTAGTCCTGTTGTGTTTGTATAAGCCAAGCTTTCACACCCAAAGTAGAATTTGCTTGTGGCACCAGGGCCCTTCCTTGGTGGCCTTTGTGCTCACAGCAATAACTCTTGTAATAATCTCAACCTGCTCCCAAATGTTGCCCAAGGCCACAACCAACACAACCAGGATTGAGGTGCTATTACCTAATCTCAACTTCCCTCTTTTCCAAAGGCAACTAAACAATTTCTTGTGCTTCTTCCAGGAGGGCATCTTGCTACGTTGTGGGGCTGAACCTATATACTCAGCCCAGGCATGCCAGACACACTGGGCTTCCTTTGTTTCTACAAGAAGTAGAAGAGGCACAGCAGTCAGGCTGCCTGTGGTAGACGTGCAGGCTCAGCTCCAGGATCCAGCAAAATGTCCATCAAGAAGAAGAAGAGGAGATGTTGATTGCTCTGGATCTTTGGCCCTTTTTGGAAGCTGCTTTCCTTATTTCTACTTCTTATAAGCATAGACGCTTCTTCTACCTGCTGGAAACTTCTGATTGAACTATGCTCTCCCTCCTCTTTGTACCTCTAAAGTGATCTCACCTTCTACTCCCTTTCCCTCTCACTGCCCCACATCATGACTCTCCAAGATTGACATTTACCCCTGTTTACCCTGCAATGCCCCACTTATACTCTTTCTAATTGGTATGTATTTTCTCACTTGCATGGTTGGAAGTAAGCTTCTTTATTTGTGTAACACTCTATTCAGGCCAGAATCCTAGGGACACTTTTATTAATCCTACTAAAGGATGAATTGATGATGTTGGCTTCTTTTTGAGAAAGTTTGCTGTCAACCTAGCAGCAAGATTGCACTGTTCTTCATGCATTTCTTTGGAAGTCTGTCTTCCACTGCTAGGGCTTCCTCCTTGGTAATTGGCCTCTCTTTTCCAAATGCAGTTCCAGAATACAATTGATTGTTGAGGAAGGGACCCCAGCTAGATGGCTCTAATCCAAGAGAGACGTTTGCAACCATCTTCTTTTTTTAGGTGGAGAGATGCTGTACCTGGAGATCTGCCAGTCTAGCCCTCCAGATCCTCTTTCTGAGTCTGTTACTGGTACAACTTAGCCTGTTATTAGCACAGCTTAGCTTATTCCAAGGGAAGCAAGTGGCTACCCTTGGAATAGGGGGAAAGTGAGACTAGGCAAGAACATCTTGATCCTAGCCAGGTTGCCTTGGGTGGCCCTCTGGTTCTCTGGATGGTTTGAAACACCATCTGCACAAACACAATCAAAGGAGAGCCATGGCATTTGCATCCAATGCCCATCCAGTCCAGTATTTACTAGCAATTGGCTGAATACTACCTGTATTCAAGCAGAATAGGAGTGAGTGTGACTTGTCTCAAATTTGCCCCCCCAGTAGGTTGTGATCCCCACTTTGAGAATCCCTGCCAGTAGCAATTTTAAGACAGCTTTCTAATGATTTTGAAGCTCTGAGTTCTATAACAAATTTTCAGAAAAAGTAAAACTAGTTTAACTACATGAAATACAGATGATTTCAGTGAAGCCCTGAAAAGAATTCTTAGTTAAATAGGAGTAAGTACGTTCTGTTATTTAAAGGAATTGTGGTAGTGAAACTGGCTGGATCATGACTAGAGGATAAATTTGAAAGATTTAACATGTTGGCAACTGAACATATTTCCATGGTTTATGTGGTTTGATGATTGAGGTATCTAAGTCCTCAGTTACCTACTAAGACAATTCTGTGGAGTGCTTTAAAACTAAAATCAACCTCCTCTTTACTGGTGTCCAGTGTACCGTCTATGTGTTTTCATGAAATATGTTTCAGTTATGGTAGTCTGAGCATGTGGACAAGGTTCTTGCAGCTATATAACTGCCCTTTGCCTAACAGTACTAATTAGAACTGAGGGGTGGGCACATGTATCATTGTATGCTGGAAATGTACTCACTTAAATGGCAGACATACAGGCTGTAATGGTAGATAGTAAATTACTTGCATTCTCCTAAAATAAGTAAATTATCAGCTGGATACTTCTGTATAAGGAAGATGGAACGGCAGACTAAGAGAACTTGGAGAGAGAGGTGAAGAGAGTGGCAGTTGACAATTAGACAAAGAGAAAGGGAAATTAAAACTCTTGTCAGGCAGATAATTTTTACATGGGAAACCAAGGTTGGCAGTCCATGGGTCACATGAGATCTTTTAAAGCTATCTGTATGACTTGCAGTAGATGCTGCTTCCCTGTATCATGGTTTCAGTTCTCTGTTGATTGGTGCTTTATAGGGAGCACTTTCACACTGGAAAGCTGCTTGGTATAGTACATGCTGATCTATGATCTGTTGGCAGCCTAGGGAGAAGATTGGTAGATATCCATTCCCAACTGTCATCTGGAACTCAGGAAACTGGTTTCTTCACTGGTAGAAACAATGAATGTTCCTCTTCTTTCCAAGTGATCTGAGTAAATTTTGCTATTTTGCTGGAAAAAAAGATTACTGGAAAGAGAAAAAACTCATTATTTCCTTCATCCTTTCATCAACTATGATATCTGGTGTAGCATCTAGTATTTCAACTAGTGGTCCTTAGGAAAGAAAAAACTACCCACCCCTAGGTTGAATTTTCATTCCATTTTTTCCTTTTATGCAATGTTTGAAAAACAATTGTTTGTTGTTAGTTTTATAAGCAACTGTTAGCAATAAAATGCATTTGAAACAAGGTGTATAACATCAAAATAAATAAACTTTTATTAGCTTGGAGATTGAGTTACTTGTGGAAAGTTGATACCAACTGGTAGAACAAGACTAAAAATGTTTCAATTTTTCAAGAATATTAATAGGCAAACACATATATGTATACACATAGACAAAATACATACACACAAAGTGTTCTTTGTTAATCTAAGGTTTATTTAAATGTTTCCTTAGTTATACAAGTAACAAACTATTTATATAATATATAAATACTAGCTCTTTGTAACTATTGTCTTTTTCACTTTTTCCTTTACAGATATTGTACTCCAAGACATTTAGATTTTGAAGACTTAGAACGTAAATACTGGAAAAATTTAACTTTTGTGGCACCAATCTATGGAGCAGATATTAACGGAAGCATATATAATGAAGTAGGCATACTATTTTTATTTTCCTAAGCTATCTGATATTATATCATTTTCACTACAAATAAGAAATATAAATTGAATATAACTATGGTCCATTTCTTTTGAATGCAGGTATATTTTATGAGATACGCTTATAGCCTGTATCCTACATTTGGATGTTTTTAATGCAAATGAGATAACTACAAATTTATGGTAAAATAATTATTTAGCAATATCTGGCAACATTAAAGCTCTAATGGGTCTTAGACGTTATTTTGTTTTCTTTGAAAGGAATAGGCTATATAATCATTTCCATCTGATTTCATATCTCAGTAATCATCTATATGTTGCATAAGTGGCAGATATCTCTAAAATATTTTCTTTGTGCCTTCAAGTCAATCATGACTCCTGATGACTTCATGGACAACTCCATGCAGTTTTCTTGGCAATATTTTTCAAATGTGGTTTTCCATGATCTTTTTCTATGACTGTTATTAGAGTAGTTAAAGAGATGGAATAATAATGAGAATTTGGGTTAAAAAGTTGGCAGAAAAAGGTAATGAGAAAAAATATAAATGGAAAGCATATGGGAAAGTGATATTACATTACTAGTAGGACTCTATGGATGTCTTATCAGAAATGTCACACTTCTCAGGTAAATGTAGCCACATGGAAACTGAAAAGGAGCAGATGGATGGTGTAAATAGCCAGTTCCTTCCAGGCTGAGTAAAAAGTATGTCCTGACACCTGTACATTTTGGGATATTCTAATCTGAAAAGCACTTTGCACTGGTCTATTTCTTTATCAGCCACCAGATGGTAACCTTGCACAAGGATAGATTTCATGAGTATTATGTGCTATTACTGAAATCTCTTCTAAATATAGAATCGTAATCTCTCATATTTATTCATGTTAGGGATTTTCATATATTCAGCAAGGATGGATGAAATAGAACCTGTTTAGAAATGAGGCAATGGAAGGAAAGAGTTCATGGTTTGGAAGGAAAGAGTTCATGGTGAGTTCATGGAACTCACATGAAACCGTATGTGGATTGTGTTATCAAGAGTAAAAGCAATGCAGGTATCCTAAGGGAAGTTACTTATTTTCCACAATATATGAAGACTATTATTTTATGAGGCTTCTATTTAAAAAAAATGTGGCCAGAATATATGCATTTACTCTGGTATTATTTAGTATTATGCTGTAAGAAGGCTTTGAATTCTTAAGACAAACTGCAACCTCTGGAGCTAATAAACTCATTGTGATTAAAATGGTTGTGGTCCAACAAGCTATTTAAACTTAAACAATGTCTTTGTTTTACATTTTTTGTTGAATAGACATTGCAAAACATACTGGGAAAGACTGTAGCTCAGTGACATATTACATGTATTGTATACCAAAAAAAATCACCATTTCAATCTGCAACATCTCCAATTGGGCTCAGTAGAACTGACTGTGTAAATCAATGGTGTGATTTGGCATAAGAGCCTTATGATCTTTTCAACTTGGTTGTACTTTTCTTTTAACGGAAAACAACCTTGTCAGTAAAAATTAGAGGGTCAAGAGAGTCTTCCATACAGTTTAATTTAAACCAGCATCTTAGCCGACAGATTCTCAAATGTGTCTCTGTAAAAGAAGGACCAGCTACTAGACACAAGACAGCATTTGACATACAATATGAGATATAAAAGATAGCTCTTATAAATTTATTCTGGATTGCTTCTGAAGCACTTAAGACCATATATGGCTGTGTGCCATAAAGCAACAGGCTCAGTAACTTGAGCTTAAAGAGTGTTACTGCTGGAGGGACAAAGTTATCACTGCAGCTAGCAAATCAGGCTGTAGCATTGGACAACTTTTGTTTGATTCTTCCATATTAAGATAGATTACAAAATGGCTTCTAAATATTTGAAGAAATTTACTATTCAGTACTGATATTGCCTTCTTCCAATTATGCTTACAATTGCTACATCTTTTAGTAAACATGACGACTTTAGTTTTGGTATCATTAATGTCCAGGGATTTTTTGCTGTGGTACATTGTTAGAACCTGCAAACTCCGCCTTAGGCCCAACTCGATCAGCTTAGCATAAATATTTTTTATTGGAAAAAAATCTTTGACAATGGGAGTGGTTGATCTCTGTTATTCTTTCTTTGCCCCTGATTTTTAGTAAACATTTACAAAATTGTGTGGATATTAATACCATACAGGCATTTTTGTTTTAAAGCTTGTGCTCTTGCCTAGATCTGGAGGTGCATGTGTATTTAGGAGACAGCTATAAAAAAGAACATTAAATAGCCTGAATGACCTTCTACTTCTCATGCAGGGGCAGCTTTTTATTTGAGGCTTATGGCATGCGACCTGGTCATAAATGCAAATAATAGAACACATATATTTCACATTCCTTTTACTTTCCTATAATTGCAATAGTATACAATGTGCACTCCACTTGATTATGCTATAACTGTAGATAATTCTGTGCTGTAGTCATTACTATGTGGTCATAGAGCAGTGATTGCTTGTAGAAAATAATATGAATGAACACTGTCTTGGCTATGAAAAGAGTGCCAGTGTAGATTTACATAAGAACTATTGGTACTATTTGCCTAGTGAGACAGACAACTCAAATAAGGACTTGCTTAAGTAACAGGTGATATAACTTTGGAATTAAATATATTTACACTGTTTTTATTTAAAACATTTTTATGCACTCTTCAGTCAAAAATAATTCTGATTGGCTTACATATGAAGAATAAAATATTAATACATTCCTGTGTGCTGGTTTACAATGTCAATAATATAACACAAGAAAGAAAAAGGTCATAAAAATAAGAAATATATATCAGGTATTCAAAGAAAATAGTGCTTATAATGAAAAGCTGACATGGCAACATTTCAGATAGAGTTGTCGGCTGGTCTTTTAATAGAGCTGATAGAATGGCATTGGTTTCTCTCTCTCCCTCTGCTACAACTGAACTTTCCAATTTTGGTATGGAAACCACTTTGAGAGTTTTGGGTGAATGACAAATAAACAAGCAATGTATTGTGAAGTACATCTTTAAAGCAAAAAAGTTAACCTTGAAAAAATAATCCTGACTATGTTGTCAGGATTATAGGGTTTTTTATGGAGTGGCTGAGATACTTTGCTTCTCTATTAATGTGTATTTTAGTACCTTTGACATTTTCCAGATTCTTTACTTCAAATAGTATTTGTGGTTTGCTTTGTGTTCTGAGGAAAGTATTCTAGTTGGAAAGACTGGAACCCTCCAAATCAGAAGAGGAGAAGGAGTGGCATTATATGCAACATTTGTCTTTAGCAACTAGTTAACTCATCAAGACTTCTTTTCACTAGTGAGAATTTGCTCAGAAATTAAGATGTTCCATGAAGAATTTAATGTATTGGCCAATGTTTTAGGGCAAAGGTTCCCAAGCTTTCTTGGTTCACAGTGCCCTTAGTGCTTCAGTAATTTTTTCATGGTGCCCCTAGGCCAAAACTATGAACTATCTTGAGCTAGGCGTTTGTGTGACCTGTGAATCATGGTTTTAGTGAAATAAGTTCTTATTAATACTTTAAATAGTAACTACTGTTGTTTAGGAGATATATTATTTTAAAGATTCATTTCAATTCATCTTTTGCCCCTAATCAAGAAATCACTGATGAGGTTTATGTCATAAGAAAATTATTCTTTTATGTTTGTTTTATATTTGATTTATTGATCAGCTCTGTTCATATCTGTTTTTCAGGATGTAAATGAATGGAATATTGCTCGTCTCAATACCATATTGGATGTTGTAGAAGAAGATTGTGGAATCTCCATTGAGGGAGTCAACACTCCATATTTATATTTTGGAATGTGGAAAACAACATTTGCATGGCATACTGAAGATATGGATCTCTACAGTATTAATTACCTCCACTTTGGGGAACCAAAATCCTGGCAAGTTAACTCTTTTATGAGTGTGTGTGTGTGTGTGTGTGTATGCGTATATATATATATATAGAGAGAGAGAGAGAGAGAGAGAGAGCGCAAAATAGTCCTTGGTTTTGGAAGATTAAAAATATGAAGAGCTGTAATATTAAGTCTGTTGCTAAAAGCAGATACAGAAACACCTTGTCAACAATTTGTAAGTCAACTAGAGTCTGAGATTTGTGAGGTAAGGAGTATACAAATACGGAGCTATATTGCATGAATAAAGTTTCTGGTGTCGTCTCTGGCATCTTTAAGAAAGACAATAATTATTGAATATAATAAGAATGATGTTGCAGTATAAAGAATATGTTATTTGCAGAGCGAAGACATGTTACTTGTTTGGAAATCTTTACTTTGTTTCAAAGATTTGGGTTAGAGCGATGGGAAAAAAGTGGAAAAAGGAAACTAGAAGTGAGGTCAGCAGTGTTATACAAAGTGCAGAAAAGGGGTGAGAAATAGTAAGCCAAAGGGATTGAGGCATGAGAAAAAGAAGAAAACAAAGCAAATCTAATTTACACAAATGATTCATAATACCAACCCATACCATTCTCTCTTTGCAAATCATCCATGCTTTCATCACACTATATGCTTACTCCATTTATTGTTTTTTGTTATTTAAACATCTCCATTCATTTTGAAGATCTCTTCAATTCTGTTCTTCAAGATATCGCTATCATTTCCATACAAATATTTCAGCATTCCCTCTCTATAGTTTCATCCCAAATTATTTTATCATTTTTATTTTGAATTCAGTTAACTGTGCTGGAAGCTCCTTGTTTATCCCTTTTCGTCCACTTCCAATTTTGTATTTCCATAAAAATTGGTCAGCTTTTTCTTCTATCTCTTTTAATCTTATGAAGATTTCATCTATATCTTCTGCTTGGTTGGGTGGTCTGTAATACACACCCGCATTAATCTCATTATTGTTTCTTTTTCCCTTGATATTAACCCATATGCTTTTGGGAGTATTTTCATCATTGGTATCATGAATTTGTGATATAGGTGTAGTCATATTTTATGTATAATGTGACCCCCCCTCCTTTTGTTGGGTCTGTTTCTTGAACAATTTATATGTAGCAACTTGTAGTCTGTGTAAGATCTGAATTCAGGGTAGTCGGTTAGTGATTGGACATTTCTTGGACGGATTGATAAATTGTTTCTGGGAATGGTGTTGTTTCTGTTTTGATTAGTCTGCCTTGTCTGGTTCTGTGTGTGGCCTGGAGAGCCAGAGAATTCCTAGAAGCTTGATGTTCAAATAAATGGGCCATCAACAGATCAATGGAGCTGGATATGATCTACTACCCAGTTAAGCTCCTGATCCAGCCACAGCAAGGGGATGAGGTAGACTAATCAAAGTACTCAACATTCTGTGGCCTCTGGGCTTCCAGGGGAAGATGGTGGACTGAAGACATCTCTGCAGACAAGTGGAGCTGGCTTTTGCAGGATTTTACAAGGGAGCCAAAGCAGACTGGCCCCTACAATCCTCCCTGGATCAAAGAGAGAGACACGAGATTGCTCAAGCTGTTTCTCCTTATGGTTGTTCCTGTTCCTCATGAAGAGGCTGCAAGACAGCGATTTTGGGTGGGTGGGGGAAACTGGGAGATGGGGGAATTTGTCATCTTTGCTCCAGCTGCAAACAGAGCCTTTCAAAGGACTGTAAGTTTGTGCACTTCCCTTGCTAACTATTTTTGGAAATTGCCTATTAACTGTTTCAAAGAAGTTAGACACCTGCATAGTGACAAGGCTGGAAATACTGGGTGAGTGCTTTCATTCCTTGATATAAGACTATGAAGATCTATTTTTATAATTTTTAAGAACTTAAACAGCAAAAAGTTAATACAAGGTTTTGGCTACAGAAAGTTTTAAAGGTTCAGAAAACATTGGAGTTTTGGACTTCGAACATTAAGACTTCGAAATTAATTTAAAAAAAATAAATGTATGTCTGCGGCAAAGAAAAATTGTTTTTGAGATTGAAGTTATAAGACAAGCAACTTTTAATGATGTTTAGAGACATCTTTGAAGAACTGCATAGAGACCTGCACCATGAAATGTCAGTTATGCTGTGTCTTCTGGAGAACAGTTTGTTCCCAGATGAAGATGTTACAGAACAAGATATGCAGCAAATTTACTTGAGGAAAATATGAATGAGACTCTGAATAAGAATCTATCATCAGACATAGAGAGAATACTGGATGAGTTTTTAAAAATGAAGAAAGAAATAAAAATGATAATCCCAGAGAACAATTGGAATAATTTCCTGTGTTGGATTTATAAAAGAGAATACTTAAAGGGCTAAAGAAATTTGTGACAAGGATAGTAATCATCTGAATGGATTACAGAGAAAGACTGCCCTGTGTAGAAGAAAAAAGGACTACAAAGTCAGTTTATTCAACCAGGGATAAAATGGGATATGTTGTTATTCCGGGTAGTTCTTTCTGGATTTATTGATAGAAAAATGTGGTATACAGGATTTGCTTATATTTAATATTATGTAAAAGTTTTCCCCCTTATAGTTACTTGATGTAATCCTAATTTTATAGTACTTAAACTGGGTTTGTGTTTAACTGTTTCTCTTTATTCAAAGTAAGGAAGTTTGGAGAATTTGTCTTTTTAAAGGAGAAATTCTTATGTTAAATTTTAGTCTTTGGTTTTTATTAGGATACTGGGATTATTTTATATTTGTGAAATGTGGATGTGCTTACAGTTTAGAGTGGAGACATGGAATGTGTACCTGAAAAGGATAAGTTGTTATTTGGAATGTTGTATATTGGAGCTTGTCTTTTGTAAAGGAGAAATTGTCTCTTTTTATCATGTTAAACAGTTTTTTTCATTTTGTTTATATTGGAACCATTTTATGCCTTTTAAATGGGATTTTGTTATAGTTAAGAGTTGAGATGTGGAATGTTGAGTTTTATATATGTTAATTAATGTTAAAATCTTAGAGCTTTGTTTGGATCTTTTGCTGGTAATTATATTGAAGATGTTAGTTATTTGATTTGCCTGTTGTTAAGGAATGGGTTATGGGATGAAGAA